CAACAAACATCAAACACACAGGCAACCATCAAAACATCAAACACAGGCAACCAACAAACATTAAAACACAGGCAACCAACAAACACAGGCAACCAACAAACATTAAACAAGGCAATCTACAAACACAGGCAACCAACAAACATTGAAACACAGGCAATCAACAAACATCAAACACAGGCAACCAACAAACATTAAAACACAGGCAACCAACAAACATTAAAACACAGGCAATCAACAAACATCAAACACAGGCAACCAACAAACAACAAACACAGGCAACCAACAAACATCAAACACAGGCAACCAACAAACAACAAACACAGGCAACCAACAAACATCAAACACAGGCAACCAACAAACATTAATACACAGGCAACCAACAAACATTAAAACACAGGCAACCAACAAACATCAAACACAGGCAACCAACAAACAACAAACACAGGCAACCAACAAACATCAAACACAGGCAACCAACAAACATCAAACACAGGCAACCAACAAACATCAAAACACAGGCAACCAACAAACATCAAACACAGGCAACCAACAAACAACAAACACAGGCAACCAACAAACAACAAACACAGGCAACCAACAAACAACAAACACAGGCAACCACCAAACATCAAACACAGGCAACCAACAAACATCATTTCGTTAAATCAGGTAGTTTTAACAAATTAAAAGAATTATCTTTTTCCATCAAGGCGTTTTTATTTGGTCCTCCAATCGCCATCCAAAATACCATTTTACATGTGAAAATAAGAAATTTGCATATTATCAACACATTTAGAAACATGCTCTAACTATCAACCTGCAGCACTGTTCAGACGGGAAGATACATTTGCACGTGCGTTGCCACACCGATTGTGCCATTGACAATCAAAGCTATGAATGAAGTCTTAAAAATATTAAACTTTCAACAAGAGTACAGGAATGAAAAATGTACTGAGAAAATGCCTATATCAATTATTTTGAATATCAATTAGGATCAAAGACATAAAGGATGAATGGTGTATGACGTTTATCGGATGATTTTACAAAAAATGTTAAAAACAAAACTACGAAACATACGCCAAAACACATCTTATTTCCATTTTCGTGAAATGTTTTTGTTTGTTGTTTCTTATGGACTGGAACCTGAAAGGCAAAGGTGTACAGATGAACTCTATGCTGAAGCACTTGTTAACTGAGTTGTTTCCCTTTGAACATATTGCGGCAATCTTTTCCCCAGCTCGTGACGCCTATCATTGCAGTTTCACTCCTGGTACATGTTGCGCTGGGTATCGTTATCTCGTCGCCTGGTTCCTTGGGAATGCTGCGCTGTAGAGTCAGCGCAACATACCTCGGGATTTTGTAGGTAGATTTGTAGGTCAGTCACTGTATTTTCCCCACTGACGACAAAACTATGACATCATTGGGCGCCAAAATAACGACAAACAATAATAGGAGATATTATATCTATTGTGTTTTCAACGGAGAGCTAGGCCACATGTAACCGCGTTCAACTGAATTTGAAACCAAAGACTGTTATTGTGAATTCTACCATGACTTCAGTAAATACTGGATTGTGATTGGTTAATTAAAGTGATTCGCAGGTATATAATCACGTTATATACAGTACAACCAGAAATTATTAAGAATTTAAAGATTGTAATTTTTTATATTTTTTCCACTCATTACTCACGTATTAAATGTGAATATTAGCAGAACATAACTCCAGATTCAAAGACAGGTGAACAGTTAGTATTTTGTCAAGTCACCATGGGCAGCAATGCAGGCTTCAATGCGACGGGGCATACTACTGATCAAAGAAGTTAGAAAGTCGTGGTCCATGCTGTCCCAATATCGCACCACCTCTTCTTTCATTTCAGCAATATTTGTCAGATTTTTCTTATTGACACTTTCCTTCATAAGTCCCTAAACATTTTCTATTGGATTTAGGTCAGGGCTATAGCTTTGCCATTCTAATAATGTCATATTTTGGGTCCGAAACCAGGCCTGTGAATGCTTTGAACGATGTTTTGGGTCGTTGTCCTGCTGGAAAATCCAAAAAATTTCATAGAACACGTGAGCAAATGGAAGTAAATGTTCCTCGAGAATATCTATGTACCGCTTACTGTTTATATTCCCTTCAAATACACAGATGGGCGTTGCCCCTAACACAGATATGCCACCCCACACATTAAATTTCCGACTGTACTTTGGGCGCTGATACAAAGGTTTTTCAGTTTGTTTGGTCCAGAATTTCAATGTATTAGGAAACAGCCACACAGAACTTTCATCTGAGAAAATCACATTGTCCCAGTTAAAATTTCTATGCTGTAAGCACCAGTTCAACCTTCGCTCCTTTTGTTCAGGTTTCATGATCGGTGATGGAATTCCTCGACTTTTCTGCCAACCCATTGCATGCAGCTCAGTTCTAATTGTCTCCTTACAGACAACCACAGTTCCTATATCAATCACATCCAGCCTTAAGTTTTTTAAACTCCTTCGTTTGTTTTTAGAAACAAGAATACCAAGCTGCCTCCTGTCACCGACAGTCAATTTTCTGGGCCTACCTGCGCCTCCCTGGTGTTCAATGCCATATCCATTTGCAATAGTTTTCAAAACACGATAAACAGTGTACAAAGGGATGCCTGTTCTACTTGAAATCACTTTAGCTGATCTGATGTCCTTGTTATAATACTCTAAAATCAACTTCCTCTTCTCTAAATCATCCATACCGAGGATCACTGAAAATGTCGTCTGCTAGCAAGTAAACAAAGGGGGATAACTCTTCACAAACTACTGAAAAAGGATTAACGGAGTTGTCTCTCTTGAATGAAACCAAGCACTTGATAGCTGGTCAAGGTTATTAATACTAGAAATCCAATTAAACATATTCCTAAAATTCTCAATAATTTCTGGTCATACTATACCTCTGATTGTCCAACAGAGTATGTGTTGTATTAAAATCTTAACGCGGTTATGGTAAAATGGAGATAAACATACTGTGTTGGAAAATCAGAGGAATATGACGAGTGAGTGAGTTTAGTTTTACGCCGCACTCACCAATATTCCAGCTATGTGGCGGCGGTCTGTAAATAATCGAGTCTGGACCAAACAATCCAGTGATCAACAGCATGAGCATCGATCTGCGCAATTGGGAACCGATGACATGGGTCAACCAAGTCAGCGAGCCTGACCACCCGATCCTGTTAGTCGCCTCTTACGACAAGCATGGGTTACTGAGGATCAGTATTCTTACCCGGACCTTCACGGGTTGAATATGACGAAATTATAATAGCTCTAAATTTGATTTAAAACCGAACGCGTTATAAACCAACAACACTCCAAATTAATGTAGACTGCCTCGTTTAACCTGTACTAGATGGTGACCGCATGAGTAGGGTGAGCTGGGGACGTTGCATAAGGCAGCATTCCCAACATGGCCCGTGCAGCAGCGTTTCGACGACCTGTGCAAATAATCAAGTCTAAGTTGATGATGATGATCAGGAGATGTAACGTGCGCTTTCCGACATACTGCGTATGTCATACACGGGGCCCGCCAGGCCATTTAGTGTTTGATCGAAGGAGGGTAGTTTGACCGAAAGAAATGGCAACCTGAAGGGGGGGTCAAATCTGGATCGGACCAGCAGTGATAGGAAGCGTTACCGTTGCCATGATGACACAAAATCGGTCTTACGTCATCATGCCTAACACCTGTATCTTCTCCAGGTGTCACGACAAGGGTGGAACACTCATGACCAGCTCTACTCTATCTCATGTGATAGATTAGATGGGTTTCACACCATTTTCTGAATTCATGGGTTTTTTTAAACGTAGCGGGGCGGTGGGGTAGCCTAGTGGTTAAAGCGTTCGCTCTGCACAACCCAACTCACTCACTCTAAACATAGCATTGAGTAAATATGTTGCGTGAGACTCAAACCCACCCAGCTACCTATTGAACATCCGGGTGAGTCTTCAGCAAACCTTGCTTGTCGTGAAAGGCGACTATAACGGGATCGGGGGTCAGATTCGCTGATGCGTGTCATCGTATCCCAGTTGCGAAGTTCTATGCTCGTGAGGTTAACCATTGGATTTCTAGGTTCAAAATCGTGTATTTACAGACAGCCATCATTTAACAAGCTAAATATGCTTTAAACATGTTCAACTTATCGCTGTCATCTTAATAATCGCATAATATATATATTTAACGCTTATCATTAATTACCTGAAAATTCATTATTTCCGTTTTGTTTTTTTTCATGTTGCTACTGTCGTGCAGTTTTCAATCACAATTTAAAAAATAATCTTGTTGTGAGGCAAAAAAATGTTCGCATTGCCTACACCTGCATGCTGTATAGAAAACATGACAAGTAAAGCTGGTTACCGACTAAGCAAGTTTTACATATATGTACCATGTCATGTAACTGTATATACTCAGACTAGCAGTAAATCACCGACAACTGTCGTCGCCCATGTTTAGCGTATGGGCGTACACTGAAATAGATTTACACGATATTCACGTGCCAATTAGAGCAGAACGCCACGGCCTTACCGTGGGGCCGCCCGGCCGGCGGTTGTACTGACATCGCTCTGCCACTCAAACTAGCCACAACACCCCCTCGTGCCGTCAGCCCATTGTTTGACACCGCCGCGAGAAAGCTCATCTATTTCTCAGGCAATGACATCTGTCCATCAATTTTCTGATATCGACAGACGCGGAAGACTTCCCCGAGCTTCGACTCCCCTTTTAGTTTCAAAATCAACTTTCATCGAACATTATTAACGTTGATGTTTTGCTTGTTACGGTCGAAGACCTTTGCCTAAATAGTTGTATGTCTGTTTGGTGGAAATAGGTCAAAACAACCAGACAGGATTGTTTCGTCCAGACTGACTAATACACGTTTTTCAGTACCACGGTGACCTGATAGTTTTTGATGTAACAAGGGAGGTAACCGGTGTTGGGATATGTAGCCACACTCCCATTCCCGTGCATGCCTTTGTTGCAAGGTGCGAGTGACGTCAGGTCACGTGACGGGGTGGGCAGTATCGCTAATTGACGCGCGCCATTTTGACGAAGAGTGACACTGTCGCTTTGCAAGGTAAGCTACCAATAACCGAGCAGTATTCCCTGCTCAGAATTAGTTCCACAATTTCCATTTATCTTCCGAGCTGATTTAATGTCATTCATTAACATAGCCATGATGGAACAGGCCGGAGCGGAGTCGGAATGTTTCGCTAGCTTTTTGGCCTTCCCTGGCCATTTTGTGTGTTTATTTTATCAGGCTATTTGCTACTTAGATACAGCGAGAAATGCGGCGTGTTTCGAGATGAATATTTCCTTTTTTCGGAGGTACTTAGGAGGATAGGTTACATAAACGCATACAAACACATTTCTGCTATTCTTCTAAACGAATACTCGCTGATATAGCTGACCGCACAATGTTTTTTCAAGCCACTGTGCAGTAAATCGAATCTTAATGGCGCAATCTGTAATTTTTCTCACGATTATGATAACACTTAAAGGGTAAGACTTGATTTTAAATTTGGGGGTATTTTCTCACGGAAAGTCGTCAGAAATATCCGAGTTACTTGCAGGAAGTGAAATCGAAACCAAATACAATCCAGCATAACATGGCGTTTAAGAATAAAGTGAGGAAGACTGAAGACAGCCTCCAGATAATACCGGAAAGCAACCGTCCTGAACAATCGCTTTCATTGTGGGTTGAGCGGTCGCACGCTGACAGCGACTGTCACTGTCGGGTGATTGACAACCAGTGATGATTGTGGGTGGACCTAGGTGATGAGTTTTGTGTGGATTAATTATGACTGATTGACAGGAGAACGTTCTTTACACATGATTGGTGCTGAGGCTAGTGCCGTGTACACGTTAAATACCTACCTCGCTGTGATGTGAGCAGTAGGGCAATGGCGACTCGTTCACATGGGAAGTCGGGGCAAATAATAAGTTGTTACGTGCAGCGATGCATGGCGGGTTCAGTTGGTTTAATTTGTAATAATGTGCCGTTATCTGGTAGATTCTGGGGTTGATTGGAAGTGTTTACCCGATTTAATTTGAGGGACACAGGGATAATTATTTTCTTCCACCGCATCAAATTTGTTATTTTCAAAAGGGAGCTGACCTTTAAACAAACAAAAAATTAATACATCAAATCATATGCCAATTATTACTAGAAATTATTTCATTTTTATTAAATTAACATTGAAGTTTGTTTTTTGTTTTTTATAGTGTGTTAATTGAAACTTGGGCAAACAAAGAAGATGCTATTCACAACATCTGAAGTAAGCTGGAAAATCTGTGTCATAAATCACATTTTTCCAGAAAGGGGTCATTTGTGTGTGTTATTTCATTTTGAATAATTTTCTCCAACCTTTGTACTAATGACCCTAGCCTCTCCATTAGTTCTGTTTGATTTCCTTTCCGCAGTAGGTAACATATTTCTATATCATTCATTTCAATATGAATGATCATAAATCTGAATTGACCTCTGGCTTGAGCTAGTGAAAACTCAGTTTTCTTGTTTTACATTTATTTATATCTGGATTATTGCTGATGTGGCATTAAATGTTGAAATCATAAACAAAACAAAATTTGATCCATAGGAAGGATTTTAAGACTTATGAACTAATTAAATTTAACCTGTTAACACAGTGTCCAGTAGTTTGCACCGTTGTTCCAGACTGGTAGCCTGTCATCCACAGTGGTCCAGGTATTCTATCCATCTACATATATAATATATACGACATAAACACATTAACTCAAGGCATTGTTTGAAGCCTAAATCAGACAACATGTATTTGAAAATAACCCCCAAATCAGATTAAATTTGTGATCATGAGCAAAAAAGATTTTGTGGCTATAGCTACGACTCGGAATTCAAGATGGTGACACCACTTCTAAAATGAAACTTTACTGACATATGCCTTCAGGGTACTTATCCAGATTGAATCAGGGACTTATCTTGACCTGCGAATAGGCTGATACTGAGGATCACTGGCAGACATTCCCAGCTCTCACTCACTCACTCACACACGAGATATCTTAGAATAGTGTATATGAAGATGTTTATTTTATTTTGTGAAAAGTCTTCAGAAACTGTCAGAGATTGTTTAGTTTTTATGCTAATTGCACCTTTGAATTCAAATTGGGAAAAGCCCATTTTGTTGAAAATGGGGGTTATTTAGAAGTTTCTGTTCTTTTAAATTCCTAGATTTTTAACATGGCTGATGCAATAATGGAAAGCCAAGCATTTCTGCATCTTCCTCTGTACTTCGGTTGATATCAGTGAAGTCAGGGGTGGAAATAACTTTAACATTGCTAGTGTACTCCGGTACAGTGGCACATGTAAAATCACTTGCCCTGATAATTTTTCCACTATACTGGCCGATTTTCTTGTTGATATTTTAAATAAGCAACATAATTAACATTGGAAAGTCAACTGGACACAGGTACAGCATGATATACAAATTTGCTTGCCCGACAGAAAAAAACACTGGACTGGGACGTCGGGCAATGGGTTATTTCCACCCATGGAAGTACAAGTCACCTCCTTAAAATGGAAATGCTAGTTACTATATTAACATGAATTGGGAATATTAATGCAGTTTGTCTATTTTTAATGAAATTTGCATCAGATTTGGAGAATCAGAGGATTAAGTCAACCTTTCAAATTGTCATACAGTGCCAAATGATTTATACATCAGGAAACCCTATCTAAACTTACTGGGAAATTCACACATTAATTAATTGTGTGTTGTTGTTGGGAAAATATGTCATCCCTGTCAGGTGACCTCATTTGCATCTTTATCTCATCCTGATACTGGTTTTCAAGTTGATAACACTGACTTCTTTGAGTGGCATATTTAGAAGTTGGAGAGTAATATACACACAAACTTTATGGATAAACAACTTCTTTATTCGGTAGATGCGACGTTTTGATTCATATTCTTTACAGATTATCTTTAAAAGAATCTGTATCGAAATGTCACATCTACCGAATAAAGAAATTGTTTATCCATAATGTTTGTCTGTATATTGATAACACTGTCCATTACATGATAGAATTTGGATCAAACTTAGATTTTTATAGCTTCACATTTTTCTAAATTCTAAAGTATTTGGATTCTTTTATACATTGTATATCATATGGGAATGTTCACTCTTTTACTGCCGCCATATAGCTGGAATATAGCTGAGTAAAACTAAATTAAAAATCACTCTTTTGCTGCAGACTGAAATGGGGCCTCTGACTCCTTGCATCAAGAATAATATCTCTACCTGTACTTGCAGGGCTCGATTTAGTGCTTTGTTATTTGCACTGGTGCAACCCAATATTACAAAGTGCAACATAGTTATTAGTCTAACTTGCACCAGATGCAAGTCATTTGCATCAAGGTAAACTTCTGAATAAAACATCTAAATAATTCAAAAGCATATTTCTGATATTACATGTTGCAATAAAAACTGTACAACTGGAATTTGACTGGTGCAACTAGGTTTTTATCTTCACCTGGTGCAAGTGGTTAACATCTCTTAAATCAAGCCCTGATTTGTTTTCAGTTTGAGTGTGTTTATTAACGTGTATCTTGTCCCCACCCTCAGGCTTCATGTGACACAGGCAGGGCGGGGCCATGTCCGTGGTCCCCCAGCCCCCATCGTATCAGGAAGCACAGATCTTGGCTCAAGCTCAGGCCGTGGCCTCCGGGGCCTCCGTCGTACAAGATGTTGGAGGGTGAGTGGCTGTCATGCTGAAAGAGTGGAAGGGGCAAAGGGGATATCTATGGGGGTCAAAAATTCCCAATACAACTTTCCTGCACATGCATTTGATTCAATATATGTTTAAACTTCTCATGTTAATAGTGTAATAATCCTAAGGGTCACAGTCCTAGTTGAAGTTTCTACTGTCATATGTTTAATTCAGACAGCACCACTTCTTACAAAAGCATCCATGGGACTGTAACCATGGCGACAGAATATGTTCCTTATTTACATTGTTATGTTATTGTAATTGTGTCAATCTAGCTTTTCTTCTGTCATCAGTCAAATTAGTACTAAGCCCTTAATGATACAAGATATTTAACATACTTTATATATACTCATGGAAACCAAATAAGGGTACACATGAAAGTACTCATGTTCCTTTATTTATTTCCAGAATTTCACCCACAGTGCAATACATACCTTGTGAAGAAACCTGGAAAAGAATAAAGGAACACTTGTACTTTCATGTGTTCCCTTATTTGTTTCCATGAGTATATTTTATAAACAAGAAGCAAATAAAGAGATATTTATATTTTTGAAAAGGGTTGATGTTATGTTTTGACTGTGTGGAGATATGGAGAAATCTAACTTTGAATAAACTCCAATTTTACTGACTGTTGCTCAAATCTCAATTTCGTTGTACACAGCATGTTTTGTGTTTTCACTTTCTTGATGTGGTCTGACAGTCCCGTGGGATGGTGTTCCAGAGTTACCTCCCTTATCCCAAGTCAGGTTGCATGTGTATCAAATGAATCACTAGCTGAACCCATTCCTTTGCCTTTTCATATATACTGGACAAAATAAGTGAGGGATATTGGTGTTTTTATGATTGATGCTTTATCAGTGTGTCAATGAATAAATAGATCATTATTCATAATTTCAAAATTTACATATCCCTAACTATGTTTGTCCAGTATATTATGTTTGGCGCCCAGCTCTAAAAGAGGTGAGGTGAAATTGGGTTTTACGTCGTGCTTGAGAATATTTCGCTCATATGACGACGTGCATGCATGTGTATGTGTATGTGCGGCTGCTTGTACTAGCCCAGACTGAAGCTGGTTTTATAGTGCTAGCCCACTGAGTGAAGCATGAATACCCCACTCAGACACAGTATACTGACTCCGAGCCGACCAGTCCTTGTTGTACCAATTAATGTCGAACGCCAGGCAGAGACCAACAAGTATCTTCCGCTCTCCTGGTGGACGCTCTAACCACTACAACACGGAGGCGGTCCCGGCTCTCAAAGAAATAACATTAGTGATTTAGTTTGGCCAAGTTTTGGGTTTTTTGTTGCTGTTAGCGCAACATACAGAACCCTAATATTTGATTCCTACATGAGTACATGCTATATAAACTCACTCACTCACTCACTGAGTCTCACTTAAATAGTCACTGTAGTACTCACTCACTCACTGAGTCTCACTGAAATAGTCACTGAAGTACTCACTCACTCACTGAGTCTCACTGAAATAGTCACTGTAGCACTCACTCACTCACTGAGTCTCACTGAAATAGTCACTGTAGCACTCACTCACTCACTGAGTCTCACTGAAATAGTCACTGAAGTACTCACTCACTCACTGAGTCTCACTGAAATAGTCACTCACTCACTCACTCACTCACATTGTTTCATTATTCATGTTTCAGAGCTACTACCATCATAACAGTGGGTCAGCCTGTGGGCGGTGCTGCTGTGTCCGAGGCAGAGGCTCTACAGGTGGAGAATTATAAACAGGCCATATACAGGTACTAGCAGTTTATCATCCATTTCTCTAGGGATCGAACTAAACTAATATGCATACATTCTCAAGATCACAAGTTACCCACTCTTGATTTTCAATAATATTTTACTAACCATTGAAGTGTCAAATTGTGACCTCACCTTAATGCAGTGTAACAGCAAGTCCTAAGTTTAAACGTCATTTCATATTACATGGCTGTAGTAGAACTGGAAGTCTTCCAGTCTCCCGGGAAAGGCTGATAGCATGTCATCGTATCCCAACAACATGGGAAGTTTCACCATATCAATCACTAGTCCAGATTTGATTGTTTACAGGCCAGTATAAGTTGTTTCATAGCAGGAATATTGCTGAGAGCGGCATTAAGCAGCCGAGTTTTGTATGCTTTCCAGACACCCGTTATTTCCGCTTATGGCGTTGCTGTTTGAGAAATGTGAGCAAGCCTCTCACTCCCACGACTGCCCGACCTCTGAGAGCTTCGATGTCGACATCCAGGCCTTTGTGCAGCACCAGGAGAAGGAACACAAGGCCTTCTTCAGCGATGATAACGAACTTGATAATTTGGTAAGTGTCACGTGACTCATGCTGGCTTCCGCCCACACATGGTGAGCATGTTTCACCCCTGCACACCCAGCATCTACTAACTGCACTATGTTTAACTGAAAATATACTTTAAGTTGAAATTAGATGAAGGTAAATTAATTGAAGTTGTAACTGAACTGAAATTAGTTGAACTAAAATGAAATTAGTTGAGATGATATTTAAGAATGAATGGAGAAGGGAATACTGTAACTGTTATTAGGGAATAATGTAACTGATATGTAACAGAAAAGATGCTTTGATAATTGATATTAGAGCATGAATAGAATGAAGGGAATACTGTAACTGATATGTAACAGAAAAGATGCTTTGATAATTGATATTAGAGCATGAATAGAGAAGGGAATACTGTAACTGTTATTAGGGTATAATGTAACTGATATGTAACAGAAAGATGCTTTGATAATTGATATTAGAGCATGAACAGAGAAGGGAATACTGTAACTGTTATTAGGGAATAATGTAACTGATATGTAACAGAAAGATGCTTTGATAATTGATATTAGAGCATGAACAGAGAAGGGAATACTGTAAGTTGTTTCATCTGAGACTGAGGAATGATCTTATTCTGTAGTAACATTTATATGTTTGTGTAGTCCTCACACGTCATGGAGGTTACCTACATTCATTTTCACTCTTTATTATACATTTAGAATCTTTTTTAAGTTCTTGATTTGTGCCTTCTGTGTGTTTTAATTGGTAAGAAATAATTAGACATGGTAAGTTTAATGGAGTTAGTGAGATAGCTGACACCTGAAAAGCATTACTGGGCTTGGGGGATTACCTGATCTTGACACTGATTGGTCCCCAGTCAGGGGTATCAGGGATATAGCCTGTGTGGAGCAATGTCAGAGGTTATAGCCCGTATAGCCCAGGTTGTTGAAGTGAGAGCCAGCAGCTGACTCCAAGGGTATAAGCTGTCTATCACATGGTTCCAGTAGTTGGCATCACATCACCACCAACTGGTTCACTGATGATGTGGGACTAATGGACCATGTGAAATCTCTAGACTTTTTTTGTGGAAAAAGAGTATTGTTAGTCTCAGGACTAGCTGAATAGTTGTTGAACCTAGGTTTGTATTAACTTTACAAGCTTGAATCATTAAACTTTTTTAAAAAGTCTGACATTGTACTAAATTGCAATTTAACTGCCAAGTATACTCATTTTAGAATACTTGCTCAAACCCTGTGAATATGTGATGAAACTAAGAAAATGGTACTTGATGAAACCCACAAATAGAGATTCCAGTGTCAAACAACATTCACTCACTCAATTTATAGCTAAATTTCCTACTTAACATGTCGTACGTTAATTCTTTTGATGTCTATAAATGCTTTAGAAAACAAGTTTCTCCACTCTATTCGTTGTGGTAAATGCTTAACATCTGTAAATTGTATTCATACCTAAAAAAAGAGCATGGGTGGTTGTTTGAGAAGCTTCAATTTGATGTAGAGTTGTGTCCCTTGGGCATGCAGGTGTCCTGGTTTGCCGAGGATGTTTACAGGTTTGTCTTTTGCTCGTTGATTTGTTGTTTAAAGCCACAATCAGCAATATTGCAGCTATATGCCAGTGGTGTGTAAATAAACGAGTCTGGACCAGACAATCTGGCGATTAACATCATGACTATCGATCTGCACAATTAGGATACGATGATATATGTCCACCAAGTCAGCGAGCCTGACCACCCGATCCCATTAGTCACCCCTTAAGACAAGCATTGGTTGCTGAAGACCAATTCTACTCCAATTAGACATCTACAGAAGTATATAATTTAACATCTGCAAAATTATATTGAGTGTGTAAAGAAATCTGCAGAACATGATTCGAGGATTGAGAAATGGAGTTGGCACAGTGGTATAACTAGAAGACTGTTCAAAGGGATGTTAAACAAAGTTATATCTCAACTATAGGTGTGTTATATGTAGCAATATTCCATGTTTGTGACTGAACTTCAATATTCTGTCGTGTCTCCATGTTATGTTTAAACATGACCTATCTTAATGTGGTTTTCAGATGGTTAAAGCGATACAAGTGCTACGAATTCATCTCTTGGAACTAGAGAAAGTGAATGAACTGTGTAAAGACTTCTGTACACGTTATATAGCGTGTTTGAAGGGCAAGCTGCAGAGTGAGAATCTGTTACGTATAGACAACATATACGACGACTCGTCGCCTCCCTTGCCGGGAACACCGCAGCCTAGTCAACCAACCAATCCGATGCAGGTTCAGCAACAGGTCGTGACCCCTGGGGTCGTGACCTCTGTTAACGGCAATGTTGTGATTCAGCAAGGGGATAGCCCAGCCTACTGTTTCCATGGCAACAATAAATCAAGGACAAATTGTGTCAGGGAATACAGTGTATCAGATGGTGCACACACCTCAAGGAATTGTCGCACAACCAATTCAGGTGAGACAGTAACATCATACCTTAGCTTATTCTGTTTCCATGATAATTACCTCTATAAATTCATTTCCCCATGTAAATGTTTCCGTCGGAAAGATATATTCCCCTGCAGTTTATGGAAAGGTCATCTAGATTACATTGTCCGGAAGCAGCAATAACTTAGATATATTATTCCAGTGGAGGAATTTTCCATTGGAATGAATCCTCTGTTGTATCATGCTCATGTCAATCACTGAATTGTCTGGTCCAGCCTGATTTATTTACAGACTGCCACCATATAGCTGGAATATTGCTGAGTGCGGCATTAAATAAAAATCAATCAAAACCTCTGTTATATCTGCATCTAATTTATTATCTTTTCCAGATTCAAAGTACACCTTCAGTGCAAGCTCCAATTATGACCCCCACAGCAACTGTGATACATGGCAGCACCCCACTGTCTCAGATAGGGGTGGTCGGGGCACCTGTTGTGTCACAAGTCAGTACACCTACAGGTGAGTGCAGCACCCCACTGTCTTAGATAGGGGTGGTGGGGGCACCTGTTGTGTCACAAGTCAGTACACCTACAGGTGAGTGCAGCACCCAGCTGTCTCAGATAGGGGTGGTGCGGGCACCTGTTGTGTCACAAGTCAGTACACCTACAGGTGAGTGCAGCACCCCACTGTCTCAGATAGGGGTGGTCGGGCACCTGTTGTGTCGCAAGTCAGTACACCTACAGGTGAGTGCAGCACCCTGCTGTCTCAGATAGGGGTGGTCGGGGCACCTGTTGTGTCACAAGTCAGTACACCTACAGGTGAGTGCAGCACCCTGCTGTCTCAGATAGGGGTGGTGGGGGCACCTGTTGTGTCACAAGTCAGTACACCTACAGGTGAGTGCAGTTCCCAGCTGTCTCAGATAGGGGTGGTGGGGGCACCTGTTGTGTCACAAGTCAGTACACCTACAGGTGAGTGCAGCACCCTGCTGTCTCAGATAGGGGTGGTCGGGGCACCTGTTGTTTCACAAGTCAGTACACCTACAGGTGAGTGCAGCACCCCACTGTCTTAGATAGGGGTGGTCGGGGCACCTGTTGTGTCACAAGTCAGTACATCTCCACATTTTTCTGTGTTCCGGAAACAGTAGCAAGGAAGTGGCATATAATAGCCTGGTAACTGTTAGTGTTATCGAAAATATTTTCCTTGATGTTTGAATTAAATTTGTTCACAGCTCCTCAACCTCTGAAAACAAAGTTTGTTATGTTTTAATAATCTCACCATTTGTCAATTTTCTTAAAACCCAATTAATGCTACAAATATATCTCAAAGCGAGAAATTATGATGTTTTCGTGTTTTGCAGCCTCTGTGGCTCCCCAGGTCCCATCACAGATGTCAGCGGCCAGCCTCAGTGCTTTGTTTGATGATGACGACTTCGGCAAGAAGAAGAGCAAGCGAGGAGTTCTACCGAAACAGGCCACTCAGGTCATGAAAACATGGCTGTTTCAGCATATAGTGGTAAGTGCTGTTACTGACAATAGAGCACTTTGGAAAAAACAGAGAATCTAACAGAAAAAACAAAGAACAGTATTTGTACGCAAAGACATTGGGTGAAAGTCTGTTTATCAGTCCAAATCATTATTCCTGCATTTCACTTTCCAAACAGTTATTACCAGTATAAAAGTATATCTAACCAGTTTCAGTAAGGGTTAGTGATGTCATTTGACTGTGACGTCATGGTAACCAGATATATGACAATGGTCTGCTAAGCATTGTGATGCAATGTCATTGTAGTGTAAGTGTTATCTCCCATGGTAAAGGTCTTATATTCAACTTAATGCCCTAGAAAGGATTGTTTCAATGAACAGGGAAGGAAATGAACCATATAATGCAAGCCTGTAGCAATGAATGTTATTGTTGATATTCAAATATTATGAGCAATACGAAGATGAATATTTTCTTAAAATGATACTTTGTTATAGAACTGGACACTGGTTTGAATCCTAGGTTTCAGGAACAATTCATTATGTTTCAGCATCCGTACCCAACAGAAGATGAGAAGAGACAAATAGCCAGTCAGACAAACTTGACCCTGCTTCAAGTAAATAATTGGTAAGTAACCGAGCTGGCAAAGCATTCCACATGCAATACACGAATGCATGGATACCACTTTGTCCCGATTATTTCTAAGTTTGTCGGATCCAAACTGGTGCGCCTTGGTTCACTGGAAAACTTCAATCGATGTTGTCCCATGTCACACAGTATGATACAACTGTCCCATGTCACACAGTATGATACAACTGTCCCATGTCGCACAGTATGATACAACTGTCTCATGTCACACAGTATGATACAACTGTCCCATGTCACACAGCATGATACAACTGAAATACTGTTTAGCATTGTTTTTAGAGCAGTGTTAAACCTGACTTGCTCCATTACATTCTGTTGGGTTCTGGGTTAGAAATTGGTCCCCATTAGAATTGGGAACTTTGGATAGCAGATTTCAAGGGTTGATGATGTGAATTGTCTCTTGAAAACCCTGAAAGCAGGAGTTTACTTAACACAGAAATATGCTTCAATTACTGACAGATGTAAATGGGATGCAACAAGCACAGGTCAACCAACATTGGAGTCATTGTCTGAGTATTGTATCCTGGCATCTCAGTCGAACAGTACGAGTAAAAGCACACGCACATTAATGCATGTCAGGCACACTGACTTGGTATCCCAATTGCATGGATTGGTGCTCGTGATGCTGATCACTGGATTGAATGGGATACAACAAGCAACATTGGAGTAAGGGTCTGAGTATTGTATCCAGGTTGAACTGGTATCTCAGTTGGGGCAATACAAGTAAAAGAACATGCACATCAATACATGTCACTCTGTTAGTACAATAATACAACTAGTAAGACCCTGGCTAGACTTGGTCAGCAACCCATGCTTTATATCAGGTGGTCAGGCTCGCTGACTTCGTATCCCAGTTGCATGCATTGGTGCTCATGATGTTGATCACCGGATTGTCTGGTCCAGACTTGATTATATACAGACAGCTGGAATACTGTTGAGTGGGGCATTATGCAACAAACAGACATAAGAGGTGACCGACAGGAAGGGATAGTCAGACTAGCTGACTTGCTTGATGCTCATGATGTTGATCACCAGATTGTCTGGTCCAGACTTGATTATGTACAGACAGCTGGAATACTGTTGAGTGCGGCATTAAACAACAAACAGACAGGAAGGGATAGTCAGACTAGCTGACTTGTTGATGCTCATGGTGTCACTGGATTATCTGGTCCAATATTTACAGACTACCATCGTATATTTGTAAAATTCTTGTGTGCTTTGTTACAACAAACAAAGATACCAATACTGTTGAAATCCGGCTCAGCTCTTGTCTTCCCTGAAAACAAGTATCTTCCCCTTGATCCAGGTTCATCAATGCCCGACGCCGGATACTGCAGCCCATGCTAGATGCCAGTAACCCAGAAACCACTAAGACAAAGAAGAGTAAACCCCAGACCCGACCACAGCAGAGATTCTGGCCGGACAGTATAGCCAATATCACGCCCCAGCTGCCAGCTGGAGACGGTCAGCTGTGTGATAACCAACAACAGCATCAGGTCATTGGTTCACAGGGACAACCAATTGTGCTTCCTGGTAAGAATATTTAGTTTTAGAATTGGCCCCAAACAGCCTATGCTTGTCGTGAGAGACGACTAGATGCATTGTGGCTGCAATATTGCTGAGTGAGATGATGAACAACAGTTAAATTCGTACAGTTTGGGTATAGATATCACATAATTGTTTTGTTAGACAGGAAACATCCTCTGTTGGCCTCAGTTGGTAGCGGTGTTTACAAGGGAGATAACTCATGCTTCAAAGGAAGGGTTGAAACTGGATGTATAATAATTATATGAGAGTATTATATTTATTTCATAATGAAACACTAACTTAAGTTGGGGGGAAATGTTTGCAAGGGAGATAACTCTTGTTTAGATAAGGTGTACTAAAAAAATCATGAGTATTTGCATAATCACAGGTGTATGATTACAAGGGAAGTATCTCTGTTTCAGTGATGACTGAAGGGCAGATAATCACGTCACTTCCAAATATTCACCATTCTTCCAGTTCTCCTCTCGGCGAAGACGAAGGAATTAAGATGGAGGCGGAGCATGGGGGGGAAGAGTCCGACTCTAGTAAAGATGACAATTAGATGTTTTCCTGTTACAATTGCTCACTAAGTGAGATCGTATTTGTTCATTCTCATGTGTGCTTCCTATGATATGCCAAGTCCCAGAATGCACCATACAGAACATCTCCTTTAGTCTCCTCAGTGGGATATGGCAACTGTTGACCTTGTAACGAGTGTGTTGGTAACCTGAATGTGTGGCATGGCTGCAAACAATTCTTCCTTCATTCTTTAACCAATCGGATCCCTTTCTTCAAATCATAACGGCAGTACGGAACGGCCAGGTGTGATTTTCCAAAACAAACAACTTCCGCAAAACTATTCTTATCTTACAAATAAGGGTTACTTTACAGATGTCATCACCCGGTATTGAAAACAAGAGACATTTGTGGCTTGGGGGGTGATGATGATTTTTATGGAGAAGCTTGTACAATGTGAATGACCCCCCTAAAATTGATGTACAAAGTAAGTGGCCCCCGGCATGTAATGATGTAATGTACAAAATTAATGCCACCCCAATAAGTTTTAAGCATATTTCTCTTCTTTTGTTTTAATGTACAGAATTGCTGATCCCCCTAGTTAATGTGTACAAAATTGATGACACCCCCTACCTCCCCAGAACAAAATGGGTGACCCCCCGTATAAATCATCATCACCCCTCCTAGCCACAAATTATGAACCGTATTGGCATCGTGTATTTTTCAAAGTAGCCTTCAATAAGAACTCTTGATGACTTGTTTCCATGGTTACAAATGATGGAAAGAGATATGTTTACGGGTGAAGTTGGTGCTGGACACAAGTATTATATGGATGGCCTCTTGTTCAAATCATCAACTCATCTTTCTTATCTCTTCTTGCACTTGTTAGTAGTGGCGTTGTAAGTGTTATTAGGTTCAACAAAGCACTGGTACATTTATCCGAACAAAACAGCAGAGCATTCGTGATTTTCAAATAGGCGTATTTATCGTTACGACTGCATGAATTACCAAAAAAAATATTTCATGAATATTCTTTTAACCCATCAGACTTTCTTCTTTTGATGCTAGTGATGTGTGTATTTGCCCCAGTCCTTACTATGAAAGTTTATTTGTGGTGAAATCGTATACTGTGGTATTAGTAGAACTGCAGTATTTTGCCTTCAGCTCGGTATAATCCAAAAAATTCGGTTTTCATACCGTCATTTCTATCCAGTCATAACATGACAGTTTTGTTCATCAAAATAGCAAAGATTTTGGTTATTAAACCATGTTATTAAACAATGTAAGGTTTGACTCTTCTTGTCATTTTTCTGCATTGTGATCATATCTCATATACTGAATCGAAACTGAACCAAAGGCCTTGTAACTCAATACGTATCGTTGTAAGAGTGTACCGTTTCACCCCTCAAGTTTAAGTGTGTTGTTCACAGTTGTGTGCGAGGAGAGGCATAAGGCATGTCTGCATTTTTCAAGTTAAGAGTTTTGCCAATATAAAAAAAAACACAAATTTAACTTTGAGTGGCATTTAAGGGGCTGGGAGGTACAATGCAGACAAATGTATGAATAAATGTGTCTTTATTTCGTGAGAGCGACGTTTCAATACACATTCTCTGCTTGACAACAGTACAAGAATCTATTGAAACGTCGTACTCATGAAATATAGAATTTGTTATCCGTAACGTTTGTCTATTAAACACAAGATGAGGAGACCTGCAGAATTATTTCAAAATGATACTATTTCACATCAAAGTTGACACAGTGATGTTTGACAATACCAATGACTCCTAACACAGCTCTCCTTCATAAAATTGCTTCATCCACCATTTTGAATCATAAATTTCTTTGTTGTCCATTTTCTACTGTTACTTCCATTTATAGGGGGTCTGTTGACAACAGGAATTAGCTGTAATGTCATGAATGTCACTGTGGGGTGGTGGGGTAGCCTTGTGGTTAAAGTGTTTGCTTGTCACCTCATACCCAGGTTCTGTTCTCTACATGTCCCCACCAGGACTCCCTTTGTTGCTGGCATATTTCTAAAATTGATATAGGATCCTGCTCCCTGACCCCAAACACCCCCAAACACCCCCATGTTCAGAGGAACAGATAAGCTGCGTATTTGCGTAAATTACGCAAATATTTATGCAAAACTCAATTCCTATTAAGTCTATTACGTACAAGTACGCTGGAAGTTTTGTAAATACGAAATAAATGTGATCTTACATGCGTACACACAAAAATGTCAAATCTTAACTTGCGTACCGGTGGATAGATAAAATAACTGAAGTATACTGAGAGGTTCTATTTCAGGACTTGGACTTTACAACTTGCAGTCTTTCTTATCGTTTCTCATATTACAGATCAAATGTTAATCACGAAAACTAACATTTAAACTTTATTACATTTTTAAAATTAATGGAAAATGGCAAAATACCCAATTGAGCTTGAGTGAAGTGAGTACAATTTATTTCGTTACTCAAAAAAATAATTAGGATACCCAATTAAGATGAAGACAAACGAATACATAACTCAATTACCCAAACAGTTATCTGTAGCTCTGCATGTTGTTTCTGGAATAGTGCTGAAAGTGTCTTAGAGAGCCACTCCCTACCCCACCATGATATTGCTGAAATACTGATAACAGTTGGGTTTCAAGTGACAGATATGGCAGGATCAGTTTTATGTGGCAGTCCTTTAAATAATAGGTTTATCTCCTAGTTTTATACTCATCCCTCCATTCACAGTTTAACACAAGTAACCATGGCAACAATACTTAAGTAGGTATGACTATACAGAACTTGTATTAGTACTGACCATTCCTAGGGATGTTAAAGCGCAGAAATGTTTGACTGACTATCCAGAGTAAGGGCTGCATGCTCTTTGGGTAGAGCCCTGATGAAGATCTCAGTAAAAATGCCAGTAGCACATTGGTATTGCTCAGACTGTTGATCACACAGAGTAAGGGCCTTGTACTCTATGGGTAGAGCCCTGATGGAGATCTCAGTAAAAATGCTAGTAGCACATTGGTATTGCTTAATTATACAGAGTAAGGGCTGTGGGTAGAGCCCTGATAGAGATCTCAGTAAAAATGCCAGTAGCACATTGGTATTGCTCAGATTGTTGATCACACGGAGTAAGGGCCTTGTACTCTATGGCTAGAGCCCTGATGGAGATCTCAGAAAAAATGCCAGTAGCACATTGGTATTGCTCAGACTGTTGATCACACAGAGTAAGGGCCTTGTACTCTATGGGTAGAGCCCTGATGGAGATCTCAGCAAAAATGCCAGTAGCACATTGGTATTGCTCAGATTGTTGATCACACGGAGTAAGGGCCTTGTACTCTATGGCTAGAGCCGTGATGGAGATCTCAGAAAAAAATGCCAGTAGCACATTGGTATTGCTCAGACTGTTGATTATACAGAGTAAGGGCCTTGTGCTCTGTGGGTTCAGCCCTGATGGAGATCTCAGTTAAAGTGCCAGTAGCACATTGAGTGATGAGTATTGACATTTTTCCTTGTTAAGTCTACATTTAGGGGAACATACTGGACTTTCCAAAACAGCATAAACCAGACACCCCATACTCGCTCAGGCCCCTGCTGATGTCTGGGAAATATGCTGAAACTTTGGTACAAAGGCTGTTTCTTGCCAGAATTTAGAGGTTGCCATCAAGCACGCCTGCCAAGCTCTGCTTATCTCATATGAAGGCTTACATTATAGTGCTATTGTTGAGTATCACAGGAGCTTTCTGCTGTCCAAACTTGTCACATCTTGTAATTGTATTCAGGGGAGGTACAGTATCCTGGTGATTAAAACATGCCATTGTCTTGCACAAGGCCTGTGATGTTGCTAGAATATTCCTAAAATTGTAAAATGCTACTGACTCAGTTATAACTGATTTATACTGAATTCCATTGTGACACAGCTAGGTCACATGTTACTTGAGGTCTTCCAGCCTATGAGTGTAGGTCAATGGCTTCCTCTAATCATGAGCATAATGTCAGGGCCTAAATATGGTGCTATGTAGCCGTAGATCTGATGTACAGGCCAGCTATTCTCGAAACGTTCGTAGCCCTACGAACTTCTTAAGCCCATTCTTAACACATTGGCTATGATCAGAGTTAAGAATTCTTAGGGCTATGAACGTTATGAGAATAAGAGCCCAAGGCTCAAAACTGCTTTGCTTGTTTTCAGGATGCACGTAGCGGGTGTTGCTTGACAGACATCTTCTGTTCCAATATAGCTGTTGGGGTGGTTATGTGCCCCTGTTACAAAATTTGAACCTGTTTTGTTTTTTCAACAATGCTTATCTGAAAAATGTGAGAAAAATTATTTGTTTTTAGTGGACTCCGATGTGTTCTTCTATAGGCACTATATATACTACTGAACTTTCAATCAGGATACCGCAACATTCGATACTGTCACAGAACTAAGGACAACAGATGAAGAGAATGTGTATTAAAATTTATTACTCGCCCGTGGAAGATACTGCAGTGTAATATTTTCACGGCAATATTACACTAGTGTAATACAGCTATGACGTCACACTGCTAATACCTCTGTTACAATGGTATTAGACTTTGTTTGACTTGCGGGAGCTGAGAGTCATCACACTGTAGGCAGTTTCGCGGCAGCCTCTATCAATTTCTGTCAGAGAGTAATAAACAGAATACTAAACCGCTTCTGTGAAATACCATTTTTATTAAACTCGTGAAAGATTTAGTATCAAACTTGCTTTTCACTCGTTTGATACCAAATCATCAACTCGTTTACTAAAAATGGTATTACACGAAAGGTCGTTTAGTATCCTCTATATCTTTCATAATTGTCAGCATTCTCGCTTCCATGGCAACATAAGTCATCTTCAGCATCTGCCTTGTCCTAATAAAAGTTTAGCAGTACATTTCATATTGTTATGGTTCATAAAGAATGTTTGCTTGAGTCCACATTTATCCATTGACCACTGATGATGTAAAGAGATTACATCTACATATTCTGAGATGATTGTACCGGTAGTTGTACACTTTTACTTTCATAATCCAAAAATGGAACTGTTGGCCAAATAAGAAACAAACTGTAAATATTCAATTCAATTAATTGCTTTAGGTTTGTTTTTGTTTTGTTTTTTTTTGGGGGGGGGGGCTTTCTGCTCGTTTTGGTTGATTCATATACTGCAAAATCAAAATAAGGGTTGCCAAGGTTTTCAGTGAATGTGACCTACAATACAATCCTCATTATTTTGTTCTGGTGGCTGATAGTCAGTAGGAAGTATCTTGTGCACTTCAAAGTATATCAGCTGTCGTTTATCTTCTAAGTAAAATTTCCATTGAAGGATTGTTAGATTCTATTTGAATTTAGATGAAACAATTAAACCAAAATGTAAAATATATCTTGTATTTTGGAGCTTTATATAATTCATTGAGCAGTTGATGATCTTAAAAGTGGATTGGGTGGATCAGTGCTCTAGTCCAGACTGGATTATTTACAGGCCACGGTCATATGGTTGGAATAGCTGAATATGAAAACAAAACATCTAAACACACACAGATTGTCACTGTACTTTGTCACTGCCATTAAAAGGTAATTTAATGGCAGTTAGAGTAAGGGGGGAGCAAAAGTACTTCTTTTCTTCTTCTTTTTACTTCAAGAGTTGTCTCCCTTTTGTTTCCTCAATGTGGTAAACGTCTGAGGCCTGCGTTACTTTGAGACGTTCTAACTTCAGCTGACGCACCATGATATACCTGACATACTGTTCAAATCATCCTTACACCCACCTCACTTACTCTCAGAAATTTTCAGCTTGGACCTAAGTAAACTGATGAACTGTGGTGCAATCTCCTGTGAAAGTATTGACAAGGTAAAACTGGTTGTAGGTGCGACCACACTGTTGTTTGATGTACTTAATTCCGTGGTACGTATTACGATGCTTTACGAGGGAGGCATGCAATGTCTTCCACTGGTTTGTTACTATGCAATTGGCTTGTTAGATTCATTCACAATTACTGTTGTATATTATTGTATATTGAAAAAATACACTGCAACTTTTTTAAAAGAATAAAACCAAAATATATGACAATCAGTTTGTTGTGTCCTTCTGTCCTTGAACTAAAAGCTCACATGTTCATTTTAGGTAATTTTAATACAAGTAAATGCCTACAATGCTTCCTGCCATGAATCAACAATTGGAGATTTGGGATATAAATATCGATCTCCAGCAAGCACTGCTTGTTACAGACAACAAAAAGGCATCAGGTGCTCGTGGACTTGATGTATGTCATGCCAACTGCCTGGATCGATATTCATATTGTCAATCACTGCATTATCTGGTCCAAACTTGATTCTTAACATCATATTACAGTCGGAACTGAAATGTAAGAACCAGCTTTGTTTCTACGAGAGCGGAAGGTCGCGGGTTCGATCCCCGACCGCTTCAAACCAAAAGACGTTAAAATATGGTACTTGTTGGTCCCTGCCTTGCGCTCGGCATTAACGGGCACAACAAGGACTGGTAGGCTCGGAGTCAGTATAATGTGTCCGAGTGGGGTATTCATGCTTCACTGCGGCATGGTATCTCAGTGGGCTAGCACTATAAAACCAGCTTCAGTCTGGGCTAGTACAGGCAGCCGCACATACACATACACACGCATGCACGTCGTCATATGAGCGAAATATTCTCAAGTACGACGTTAACCCAATTTCACCTCCCCTCACCTCACCTTTGTTTCCACATTTAAGGTCTTTGGAAACCATTTTGCATTATACTACATGTTTAACTGTTTTGAGTCCCATCCGAGGGAAAGGCACCTAAACATCAGCCATCTAACACACTCAGCCACAGTGACTTCCATTAAAATGGATGTCTGACAACTGGTAGTCCAGATCACATAGTATTCTCAAAGTATGAATATTTTTCTTGAAAAGTATGCTTTTTTCAGTTCCAAAATTTTACTTAGTTTATCAAAATGGATACAACCAATAATGAATTTGATTTATTTGTCCACATTTTGATAAGTTTCATTTATCTCAAATATTCCAGAATGACATCTAACAGCACAGAGAGTGCTTGGAGAAAATGACTGAATTACCCATGCACCTAAATTCTTTTTATCTCAGACATGTTTTCCACTGGCATCAAGGAATCAATGCCTTTTTCATTATCTTAAACTGTTGGTTATTGAACCCAACAGTAAATCTAAAAACATGTGTATCCCTGAGTTCATTTTTAGGTGTACATCCATAGTTGTATGATACTGTAGTTGGCTCCAGAAGTTGTCACATGCTGAACTGAGCATGGTAAACAGTAAAGGTGAAACCGACTTCTGTGTTGCAGTTTGATTACACCACATTTCACTGAAACCTGATTGACTGTTCTTCTTGATTTGTCTGCACATCTTTCTGCACACATGAGTGCTCATTCACTGATTCATTCCATATACATTGCTGAGAACAGCACCAGAACTAACTAACTCTCTCACTCCTCCCATATCAAGGGACACCAGAAATGTTCTTTTGTAACATTGTGCATCTTACACTGTTTTGCCCCCATAAAACTGTACTGACACAATTTGAAAATAACAACATGACAAAGGGGCGATGGGCCAGATGTGAGAACACTTGGTGTCATAAACCCTGCTGTCAGTTGATTAAATTCAATTAATATCCTAATAAAAAACAAAAGAACAAAACTTTTGTGCACACAAAGCCAGATTTTGTCCATTTCTGAGAGTTGTCTTTCTTAGTTGTCCGCGATGCAGTGATTGGTTTTCACAGGGCTTCAATCAACTCCTCCTCCTGCCCGGCGGTCAAGTCAATGTTAGTTGACATAAATAACTCCTCCTCCTGCCCGGCGGTCAAGAGTCGTGGGGCGGAGGAAGGAACAGCCTTGGCATTCATGTCAATGATCTCCTCTCCTTCCTTGTGGATTTCTTTGTGGGCAGCCAGCAAATACTTCCTCTGTTGTCTCCTCACTAAATCAGGGAGGTTCCAAATCACATGTTGAATCAGTCATTGTAAAAATGTTCATATTTCAGAAACCCAAATATTAATCATGCACTGAGATCATCAAAAGAAATTTTGGAGAAATTATTTTAGATGATGTTAAATATATATATATAGGATAAGTGGGTCTGACAGCAAGTTAAACAGGCTAGATGCTCTTACCTTTTTCTCTGACGGTTGTCTTCTGCACCTCTGGAAGGAGGAAACAGTGTACCAAGTCAGCCACAATCTCCTCCGAATCCAGCTGTGAACGTCTGAAAACACAATTACAATTGTATGTAATAGTAAGGCATAGTCATATGGATCAGGAAAATACAATTATGTGGGTCAAAGAAACAAATATTTGATAGGCAAGCACAAATGTGTGATAGAGAAGCATAATTATGTGTCATCTAGTGCGAGTGGGAGTATAGTTTTACACCGCTTCTAGCAATATTCAGCAATATCACGGCGGTGACACCAGAAATGGACTTCACACATTGTACCAATGTGGGGAATCAAACCCAGGCCTTTGGCATGACGAGCGAGCGTGTGTCATGAAAACACAATCTTGATTTAGGTAAACACAATCAAAGCTTTGTAGTACGAAAAAATCTGGGCCCCAGTCCACGAAGCAATCTTGGACCTAAGGTGATCATAATTCCCAATAGGTTTACAATTGTCGTAACACTAAGATTGCTTTGTGGACACAGAACCCTGGACTCAAGGCCACCACTGCTGTTGTCACCTGATACTGAAGGAGCACATTCCTACACCTGAAGTGAATGCTGTAAAACTTTTGTCAAATATAGAATTGTTTACAGCACACTGAATAAATATGAACACAAAACAAGTGGTACACAAGTTTGTTCTGAAAGTGGTGATTCTGGGGGCAGGTGCCCTTATAATGTGGGTGACTTAAACGGTGTATATTTCACTCCACTGTTTGAAGAATGGCGCGCTGTTAACTTACTTATCCTCAATTTCATATGCCACGTCGTTGATGGTGACGGCCATCTCCTGGATCTCCTGCCGGGCCTGTTGGTCGGCGGTGTTGTCGATGGAGCCGAGGATGATGTCCTCCAGGAAGGTGTCCACAGAGTTTTGATGCACTTTCACCGTCTGGGGACAGAAAAACACAGCTGCACGTCCACACCCATGTTCATGCCTCAGACACTTTTGCTGTTATTGTTTCACACAGGGTTGCTTTTGGCACCACTGAGGCTTTGTCCTCACCTGTTTAAAGATCTCATCTTCTTCTCGTCTCCTCCTCTCCTCAACCTGTCTCCTCCCACTCTCCTCCGCCTCCCGGATGCGCCGCTGTCTCTCGGCCAGCATGGAGAAGGCATGGATCCGCCTCTCCTCCTGCAGGCGTGTCAGCTCCTTGCTGAGGAAGTCAAACATATCCCCCAGACTGGAGCCCTCCACCTGGCTGAGTGCCTCATCCACCAGAGATTCCTGCATCAAACACAGAGGTCAGTCAAACATGTCTCCTGCATCATACACAGAGGTCAGTCAAACAAGTCTCCTGCATCACACAGAGGTCAGTCAAACATGTCTCCATCATACACAGAGGTCAGTCAAACATGTCTCCTGCATCATACACAGAGGTCAGTCAAACATGTCTCCTGCATCATACACAGAGGTCAGTCAAACATGTCTCCTGCATCATACACAGAGGTCAGTCAAACATGTCTCCTGCATCATACAAACACAGAGGTCAGTCAAACATGTCTCCTGCATCATACACAGAGGTCAGTCAAACATGTCTCCTGCATCATACACAGAGGTCAGTCAAACATGTCTCCTGCATCATACACAGAGGTCAGTCAAACATCAGTCAAACATGTCTCCTGCATCAAACACAGAGGTTAGAGTCAAACATGTCTCCTGCATCATACACAGAGGTCAGAGTCAAACATGTCCTGCATCAAACACAGGTCAGGGGCAAACATGTCCGGCATCATACACACTGTCATGACACAAGGATAGTAGTTTACACGATGAAGACCTGTCCATGAGAACAGTACCACAATAATACCACTAGTCTGTCTCACAGTCTGTGGACCACATTATTTCCCCTTGAAGCAAGTCTACATTTCTACAGGTTCAGGTTCTGAATCCCCCATCTCACTTTGGCTCCTTTTCAATTTAAAAGGAATTATTTGTTTCTATCAAAATTATATATATATTCAGAGACTAAGTATAATAATACCACTACAATCAACCGATTAGACATCTCCAATTATATAGTATATTGTCAGGTCCAGGGTATTTATAATAACAGAATGGAGGTGTGCTACACTGGGCAATCAAGGACGCAGACAATGGAGTCCACGGGAGAACAGTACCTAGCTAAGTGTTAACGGCACGACCCATGGCTCACCTGACTCAGTGCTCCATCCAGGAGTGAGATAACTACATGAACACAACTAGATTTACCCTGAGGAACCTTCAGCCACCATGTCCACCTACACTCTCTACCATATGCCGCAATACACAGACAATAGAACTCAATCACTTGGGCTTCATAATTAATTCACTGGATTTCCACCACTTCACGATCGATCGATCTCTACTGCATAATTGATCAAGTTCACCGCCTACTAGCCTGCTGCCACTGTCTGTCAGACAGGACTATTTCTCCATTCTAATCCAGACTGTGAAGTAATCAGGTAGACTGGTAATAAAGCACCAAAACAAAGGGAGACAACAAAGTTTGAAATATTGTCGGAAAGAAATAATATACATTCATTATTTATGGCTTGTCTTAAATATTTTCAGAGTGCTTGCTGGCAGCTAGTAGTGAAGAGCTCAGACTAAAAATAGGATGTGCTTCTATAATAACAATAACAACAACAATCATCATCATCATCATCATCATCATCATCATCATCATCATCATCATCATCATCAATCTGTTAGTGTTGTTGGATATAAATGTTTGTAGTTGTTGTTGTTGCTGTTGTTATATTAGCACGTCTTCATTGAAGTCTTAGCTCTTACCCTGTACAGAGGATTGGGGTTCAGCAACATTAATGGCAAATCAAGAGCGAGAGTAACATATTTTTTCCTACCAGTAGAGTGGGATGACATACAATCATGACATCCGGACCTCTGTGAGGTCTAGTTTAGTCAAGTATAGAGTACTGGTGATCTGTTGTGACCAAGGTTGGTCGTGGGAAATCAACATAAAAGTTAACTGTCTAACGGAAAAATGGCAGACACGTGTATTTCCCTGTCACCACAAGGGGAGACAACCAACTTTGAGGTTACAGAGACTTCTATGGCACATATAGGCCTCTTAAGGCCCAAGGTCACCCTAAAACCTTACCTACTACTACCCAATCTACCTACCTACCTATCTACCTACCTAGAGGCTTCTTGATTACTGCAATATAGGGTATGATGACACACAAACGTAACCACCCAACATCCCAGTCAACACAGCGTTCTCCCTGTTTCCTGTTTATCCCAAGGGAGACAACCCACCTTGTGCTCATGAAGCCTCCTCTGTCGCTGCAGAGCAATGGTGGCCTGCATCTCCTGTTTCTTGACGACCTGTTCCGCGTCCTGCAGTGCATGTGTGGACCGCAGCTCGTGGATCAGCTCCATCCTCTTCTCCTTGCCCTCGAACATCTGTACAACACAACCATGATCCATCACCTGTCTCACCTTGCCTGGGACAGACCCGGTCTTGTATTCTCTTTTATATATGGATATCAACAACTTCACATAGTCAGAAAACATAGACAAACACACTAAACCAGCGACATCCATCAGCACAGCAACACAAACTCCTATCACTCTGTTATCAGCAATGAAATAAAGTGAGCCAATCAGCTCACACTAATGGGAAACAAAAGAGAGAAAAAAACTTGACTTGGTTAGCCCTGGAATTACATGCAGTCTGTATATTTTACTGTAGGCAGAGTTTCACCCAACGATAGCATTACATCCGATATGCGTAATAAAATGCTTACAAGTCACAAGTCACAAGAAATGCATTCAAGTATGCCATGGGCCATCAGTTTGAAGCACAATAGCTACTTCAAGTGGCGGTGAGTGAGTTCAGTTTGAAGCCACACATAGCAATATTCCAGCTATATGGCGGCAAATACTTCAAGAGCTCTTTGGAAGTAATGAGTACCAGCCAGGTGATTCATTTTGATTCATCAGTAAAGTCAGAAGCTGACATCACCGAGGGTTGATAACCAGAGTTCTTTTCAGTGTTGGTTCCCTCCTGTTCACCTTGAAAATACCCAAATTTGTCCAATGAATCATACTGCTCACTGAGAACTCTTCACATGAATTTCACTTGATGTTCACATGATCTTCTGGTGTGTGTAGTTGGGGTTTCATCACAGAAATATTGTCTCTGGGTATGTTAGAAACCTACTTCTTCTAAGTCTGCTGTTTAGACACTGGGAACCTATGTTTTCCATGTTAATACAAATGTAACTACATGACTGGCACAAAAATACAGGGAGTTTTAGAATCCAGACGTTGACCAAACGTTATGCTGTTCAATTCATAAATAGTGACACTTGTATTCTGGACTTCATGAGAACATATACATGAAAACAGCCACCCAAACCGTTATTTATTTTCGACAGGGAGATATTTATCATTGAACTTGCTCCACTGGGTTGTCAATAGGTTCCTACTAAGAACTGGTGTCCTATTGGTAAGGTCCATGGGCAAGAAGTGAATGTGCCTTAACAGAAGGACTTACCATGTTCTGGATAGCTCGGCCTCGGATCACCTGCTGGAGGAAGATGGTGGCCAGCTCCCTCTCCTCATCCACCTGAAACATCATCAGCATTGTCTTTTTTATCATCCCTGTCATCATCATTGGTGGCAGCAACATAATTGTCATCACCATCACTTATCTACTTTCTATCATAACTGTCATCTCCATCATCATCATCATCATCATCATCATCATCATCATCATCACCATCATTTATCTACTTTCTATCACAACTGTCATCTCCATCATCATCATCATCATCATCACCATCATTTATCTACTTTCTATCACAACTGTCATCTCCATCATCATCATCACAACATTAAGTTTGCATACTTAAATTACAGCACACTCAGCAGTATACCAGTTAAAAATTTTCATAGCAGCCTGTAAATAACCTGGAGTCTGGACAAGACAATCCAGTGATTGATGGTTTGAGCATCGTCAGCTCTATCAGGGCACACTGACCCACCATTAACCAAGTCACTGACTACCCTATCGATTTAGTCGGCTCATCATGATGCTGGGGACTAATTCATTTCCATCTACATCAATGTCATCATCCATACATCAACATATTTACCGTAATCTTCATCATCATCATGATCATCACTGATTTAATGCATGTACATGACAGTATGTTTTGGGGAAAACATTCAAGACAGTAATGGCTGCTTTTACACTGGTTGCAGCAATGACAGTTTTGGTGAACACAGATGTGAGGCATTGGGACGTAGCATGACAAACACGTGCTCCAGAGACTACAGGGATCTCCTTCCCACAGGAAGAGGTAGTCAGGGAGAAAGATGTTAAGAAACAGAACTCCTACCTGTGATGGCACCTCCACAGAGGGTGTAGGTGGGCGAGGTACTGGCTTCTCAATCTTCTGGAGGAATCGCAGGGGTTTGGCCATCTCCTCCCCTCGGGTCTTGGCCTCCTTGATGGACTGGGGGACAAAAAGGAAAGACATGAATTGTGACTCAATATCTACACACACAATTCATTCAATAACTGGTCATCAGTAATACACAGGACTATTAGGCAGACTTTCTATATTGTCACTCTCTGTCAACACACCTACATCACTGAATCAATTGTCATTATCAATACTTGACTATGTTCTTCCATCCAACACATACAACCTCTTTGTGACTATGCCAAAATTCTAAATATTGGCATCTCTGGTTCTAATATTCACTTGAGGGACAACACCAATGTAATTTAGGCCTTGAATTTGGGGGGCTGAAAAAAATCATAACCAGGGCAAATCTGGGATTCAAACCCATGATCTCAGAATTCTGCCTCAAGTAAGGGACATAATTCAACACGTCCTCGCGGTCAGCCTCCTACCTCATGCATCTCCATCAGCTCCCTCTGTTGGCGGTACTTGCGCTTGATGAAACCGGCCTTGGTGACTGTCTTGGGTTTGGGGGCCTTCACCCTGGGCTGCATCACAAAGTCAGGCAGGGACGCCTCCAACTCCAACAACCCTGCAGGAGACAACAACACTGCTTACAACAGAGCTCCAACTAAGTTGCAGTATTCATAACATACACAAAATATATCACCAGTACTGTAGAACACTGCTGTAATCAGCATCCAGCTACATGAAGGTGGCCTGTAAAGAATCATGGCTAGATGAGAAACCAGTGATTGATATTGTCAGCAACAATTACAGTCTCACCACCCAATACACTGTTTCATTTCCAACAGCAAACAATTTGCTGGTGAACTGTTTAAACAGAGGATGCCCCAAGAAGAAAACAACATGTGAGGTTTAAGTTTAACTGTAATATCTCAATGTCTAAGGAAATATTTCCTTAATATTCTACATTAAGTAAACTGACACCAACCTTGGTATGTGGTGAGATGCCTGCTCTTCACAACAAACTGTTCCGAGCCACGGTCAATGAAGATACCAACCCGCGTCTTGGGTGCATAACTCTGAGACGCAAATTCGGAGTAGTCTTGAATGACGTCGCGGCGCTGAAGTTTCCCCTCAACATGCTCACGTTTACCAGTGAGCTTCCTGATCACTGAATTTAATAATAGTCATAACAATGAGAACAACTGTAACAAATTCAGTCCTTGTGATCACTGTATCCTTAAAAGCTAAGAAATTAGCAGAGTATGAAAGTCAAAATGCTTCTTGATAAGGTCTGCAATCATAGCCTTCTAGATATCCATTTGCGAAAATTCCACACAAATTCTGTTTCCTAAGGCAAAAACATAGCTGTATTACAGTGGGGACCTCAAAAATGAATATTGACAAGTCACCTGCATATCTCAACAGTAACTGATTGTGGCTTGATGGAAGGTGCCGCTCCAACGTTATTTTGCTTAAGCTTCTTTTCTTTTTACAGTGATACCTACTTTTGATGTGCTCATTCCTGATTTTCCTTACACGGTGTTCTTTCTCTCTCTGTTTCTTGGACCTAGGAGAAAATTGAGATGGCAAATCAGTTCCACATGAAGGGAGACAACTGCTTCATACTCAACAAATTATCTCCCTTTTAAACATGATCATTACTATAACAGATTGCACTTCATCATGGTAAATAATATATAAAATACCAAGGACTGGTAGTTACAATGCTCCATCAGTAAAACAATAATTGTTAAATGTAAATTTTGGTTGAATTGTCCAGGGTCTATTTGAAATTATCCATAAACCGGAAGTATTGTTGTATTTATGAGTAGAACTGACCAGAGTTTATCGAGTCTCTTAACGTTGAGCTCCTGATGGTTCTCCTCCCTGTGTTTCAGCAGCTTCTTCAGCACCTCCAGCCTCGCCTCCTGCAGTCTGAACACAATGTCATGTGTGAGTAGTTTCCATGGCAACAGTAGAAACAGTTTGTTTATGAATACAGTGAGTAGCTGCAAAGGCTAAAACTGCTGGGAAAAGGAATCAAATACTGTCATGGCTAGATTGGAACAGCGGTTCACAGCAGCATGTGGAACCAACCAGAACTGTTTGGGACAAGTATTAAAGTTTTCTGCTCTTGTACACTAACAAAGTAACATGGCTAGCTTAATAATTTCCTAACTTATGGATGGGGCAGTAACTATACAGTTGGTTAAAATAACAAGGTAGACTTGAAATCAGTAATGCCAAAGTCTCTTTGCAGATTCCTTCCTTACTTTTCAATCTCCTGTTCTCTCAGTGCCCATTCCTTCGTCTCCATCTCATCCATCATGCGACGTCTCTTTTCTAGCTGTGATGTGTCACTCAAGGGCGGCAGAGTTGCCTCCCATGCCCGCTTAGCTCGTGCTCGTTCTATCATCTCAACCTCAGCAAGCCCAGCTGGGAGACCTCGACCTAAGCAGATTCCAAGATGTCACACTGAGTGTTACACTGAGGTACCATTACAGTAAGTCAGTGAATTACATCCACTATTGTCTAGTGTGTTATGCCTGCACTGTAAGTGTGTGAGTTTATACTTCATATCACATCGGTAATAATTCAGCCCTATCGTGATGAGGGCCTGCACTGTAAGTGTGTGAGTTAATACTTCATATCACATCGGTAATAATTCAGCCCTATCGTGATGAGGGCCTGCACTGTAAGTGTGTGAGTTAATACTTCATATCACATCGGTAATAATTCAGCCATACCGTGATGAGGGCCTGCACTGTAAGTGAGTGAGTTAATACTTCATATCACATCGGTAATAATTCAGCTCTATCGTGATGAGGGCCTGCACTGTAAATGTGTGAGTTAATACTTCATATCACATCGGTAATAATTCAGCCCTATCGTGATGAGGGCCTGCACTGTAAGTGTGTGAGTTAATACTTCATATCACATCGGTAATAATTCAGCCCTATCGTGATGAGGGCCTGCACTGTAAGTGTGTGAGTTAATACTTCATATCACATCGGTAATAATTCAGCCCTATAGTGATGAGGGTTTGCACTGTAAATGTGTGAGTTAATACTTCATATCACATCGGTAATAATTCAGCCCTATCGTGATGAGGGCCTGCACTGTAAGTGTGTGAGTTAATACTTCATATCACATCGGTAATAATTCAGCTCTATCGTGATGAGGGCCTGCACTGTAAGTGTGTGAGTTAATACTTCATATCACATCGGTAATAATTCAGCCCTATCGTGATGAGGGCCTGCACTGTAAGTGTGTGAGTTAATACTTCATATCACATCGGTAATAATTCAGCCCTATCGTGATGAGGGCCTGCACTGTAAGTGTGTGAGTTAATACTTCATATCACATCGGTAATAATTCAGCCCTATAGTGATGAGGGTTTGCACTGTAAATGTGTGAGTTAATACTTCATATCACATCGGTAATAATTCAGCCCTATCATGATGAGGGTTTGCGCTGTAAGAGTGTGAGATAATACTTCATATCACATCGGTAATAATTCAGCTCTATCGTGATGAGGGTTTGCACTGTAAGTGTGTGAGTTAATACTTCATATCACATCGGTAATAATTCAGCCCTATCGTTGATGAGAGTTTAGCTGTAAGTGTGTGAGTTAATACTTCATATCACATCGGTAATAATTCAGCCCTATCGTGTGATGAGGGTTTGCACTGTAAATGTGTGAGTTAATACTTCATATCACATCGGTAATAATTCAGCCCTATCGTGATGAGGGTTTGCACTGTAAATGTGTGAGTTAATACTTCATATCACATCGGTAATAATTCAGCCCTATCGTGATGAGAGTTTGCGCTGTAAGTGTGTGAGTTAATACTTCATATCACATCGGTAATAATTCAGCCCTATCGTGATGAGGGTTTGCACTGTAAATGTGTGAGTTAATACTTCATATCACATCGGTAATAATTCAGCCCTATCGTGATGAGGGTTTGCACTGTAAATGTGTGAGTTAATACTTCATATCACATCGGTAATAATTCAGCCCTATCGTTATGAGGGTTTGCACTGTAAGTGTGTGAGTTAATACTTCATATCACATCGGTAATAATTCAGCCCTATCGTGATGAGGGCCTGCACTGTAATTATGTCCTGACCATCAATGCCAGACTTCAATATTCATGTTTGTCCACTTGCCTCAGACTATTATACAGTGTGAGATAAATACAATTCCATTACGCTGATCCAAATTATTTGATGATCCAAATTTGACAGTCCTGATTCTGAACCAGCTCTGAGGACTAGGAATAGATGATGCTCATTATTCCGTGGCCATGTTTTAAAGATGACATTTTATACTCCAGGACACTTTCATTACCACATATTTGTTTTGGAAATCACTGACAAAGCCACAAGTCTCTAACAAACAAATCAGTGGCCATCTATCCCTTATATCCTGATGAAGTGAGAGTTTGTGAGAGTGTCAAGGTATGCAGTGCAAGTTTGGAGAATTTGGCCCCCCCTGTCAGTGGTTACACCAGTGTCCAACTCACCATACGACAATGTAGCCAGGGTCAGCAGTTCAGGCGCCTCCCCAGGCCTCACCACATATTCAGGGGTGTAGGGGTCAGTCTGAGCCTCAGAGTCACGATAATCGGTCTGTGTCTCCACGGTTTTCACCAGAGGTGTCGGAGGTCGCTCCATCTGGGCCTGGTCAGGACCAGCCAGGGGATCTTGTCTAGCAGGGAAACCAATCATTTCTTATGAAATTGGTCAATGTTGTCATTAAACTTTTAACAAATGTAAACAGGGGTCATTGTGATAGCATGGTCAAATATTGTTAAAAGAACTGGGGATATGTTCTACCCTGGAATCCCCATTGAGAGAGACATGCATGGGGTACAAGGAACTGCAGTGGACACTGGGACAGCATGGTGTAGTAGGGACCTGTACAGCCCCGGACAACCCACAGGGACAGCATGGTGTAGTAGGGACCTGTACAGCCCCGGACAACCCACAGGGACAGCATGGTGTAGTAGGGACCTGTACAGCCCCGGACAACCCACAGGGACAGCATGGTGTAGTAGGGACCTGTACAGCCCCGGACAACCCACAGGGACAGCATGGTGTAGTAGGGACCTGTACAGCCCCGGACAACCCACAGGGACAGCATGGTGTAGGGACCTGTACAGCCCCGGACAACCCACAGGGAAATAAGAGCAGGGACCTGGGGAAGTATTCCACTTGGAATCCCCAGCAAATGTGAAAACACTGTTCTCTACCTTGATGTGGCTAGCAGGACTTCAGGAGGAACTTGCTGCAGAAATGGGATGATCGGTCTGAAATAGAAGAGACATACTTCAGAAGACTGGTGACACATGCATTTGCCAGACTGTATGACCAAATGACTAATTCTAGAAGAAACATATGCTCATATTGTCTTGATGTTACTCTTTACAACGGAATCAGGACAAACCATGGACTAGTATTTATGAGATATCAGATCCAGCTTACCTCTTGAAGAATTTGTATCTGTTTCTGCCAGCAACTTCAGCATTGGCAAAATGCTTTGAAGAAACTTGCACAGATGGGTCATAGTTGAACCTAAACAGAGAAACAGCTGCACTAAACGTACAGGAACAATACCTGCATACTCAACAAGGCATGTGATACACATGCTAACTGGGGACTGTCTAGACCACTGGGTTCTGTTTCATCATCCTCATACCCAGTGTCATCAAATGTCAGCAATAACTTAACATAACACTTTTTATTAACAGAACTGGGTCCTGATCCACAAACTGTTCTTGGTGCTACGAGATTCATAAGCCTATGATAAACTATAGAGTTACGACAGTAGTGTGACAAACACTTTGTGGAGCGGGACCCAGTTCATTTAAATCAAGGGATGGTTACTAAATGTAACAGTGGTAGAGAGAAGTTTACTATTACCACAAATTCCTTACGTTCCAGGATTCTTACTAATACAGAAGTACATTATAAACTGTTATTGATTGGTATTGATATACATGATATCAACAGACACTTAGGTGATATTCTCAATCAACATCACACCATGAAGTGTTGCATAGGTTGTAAATTGTGGTATTTTGTGACAGACTTCTGTTACTCAGTCGGGAGAAATTATCAATATTAGCATGATTAGACTTGAGCACTGGACCACCATTTAAATCTTACAACTGCTCATTGTGAGGATTTACTCAACAGCGACAATAGGCCAGTGTCAGTGTCAAACACTCTCAACAATAAACCAATCAACAACCCTACTTCCACTGAGAGATTCTATTTTGGTGTGTTCTAACATCAATTTGATTTTCACAATAAGCATTGTAAACAACTGAAATTCCGTCTCAAAATTTGGTAGATTTCCTCACGTTGTGTATCTGATGAGAGCTTCTCGCTGCTGGTCTGCGTAGCCACGCCACTGTCGGGAGATAAACTTGGGCACAGGGTCAGTCACATCCAGGCGCATTCCAAACCTTGGGTGATGACGGAGCTCGCTGAACATCGTCTTGTAGTTGGGCACACGTTTCTGAAGGGAGATTGTTATACTAGAGTTCACATAAAGCACATCACAGGAAGAGGAGGAGCATCATGCATTGTGACAAACTTTGAGAGGAGCTAAATATAATGTGTTCACATTTTATCCCATTCTCAGTTAAAAAACAAACCAAAATCTTCCCAAACTCATATTTGACACAAGCTATTTAAATGAGCCATAAATTTCATGAATTGTTGTGATTTATTTATTTTGCTTCAGTTCATTGTGTCTTTGGGAACATTTCAGACAAAAAAAATGCCCTCATGCAAAACCCTCATAATTACACTGATGACAACAACAAAAATATGTAGTTAGTCTTGATAAGGATGACGACCCTCAGTGTGTGTAGGATAATCTTGAATGACAGCTAAACACTGGCAAAATTCAATCTTGGGTAGGAGCAATTTTACAGTAATTACACACATGAACTTAAACATATCAAAATTCTTTCAACAGAATTGCAGCTTGCTGATGTTCATTGTACTTACAACCCTGTCTGTGCTTGTGTGGGCTTTAAATGGCCCTGGCATGATCTCTCTCACTAGCCAGCACATAGTGGCTATCTGCAAAAGGAAACAGTAACAATGAATGAATCTAGTTTGGTGTCATCTTAAGGCAAGGAGAGTTTAACAGTGGTTCACAATTATTACACAATCAGCTGGCATGTGTTTTCAAAAGACAATTATAGTTGTACATGTAATCACTGCATCTCTATGTCCATATCGATACTATGAAATTCAGATTGGTATATGTTGTCACTGTTGAGTTTTGTTTAGTGCATTTCGAGTGGTACGATATTTCTCCACAAATAAACCTGTAAATCATACTTCTGCAACACTGACATGGAAGTCAAAGGAGACGACACTGCGAAAAGATTACTGATGTCCCATTTCTGAAGAAAGTTACCTGTAACATTGACATCGCTTCGGTGATCTATCTGTTCATTCGTTCAAATTAAATTCATAGCTTTGACGAAATCGGATTATGACAGTATGGCGAACGTCTTTATCGCATTCTTATTTAACAGAACCATAAATGGTCCAAATTGTCTGAAAGCGGGTGGTAATAAATGCAAACACCGTAAACAATGGACTGTCAAACTTAAACTGGAATTCTATTAAAATCTAAATACATACCATACAGGTAATCGTGGGTCCTGGATGGATTAGCATTAGATTTCCCACGCAGTGTTTGTGTTTGAGTTGCCATTTTAATGTTTTCGAAGTACTGTTACTGTAGAATTTCACGCATATCGTAGCCTCGAAGTATGTCCAGCCATTATCCACAAACAAGATGGCGGTGATTACGCCGTCCCCATGGTGACACCGAAATCTCGTTTGTGTGGGACATTTCAATCGTGTATGTTAAGATTTCATGTGGGGTGTATTTATCATATATCTTAAAGACACACTAGAAAAAGGTGGATTACATTTCAAATGATACCCAACTGCAGTCAAAAGGGATAAAGTGGTTAAACTGGTTCTACTATTAGTTCGCGTAGCAAGCTTTGCGTTCTCAGGCAGACATGAGCCCAGTCGCACGATAACGTTTCACCAGTAATGCGCGCGTTTGTGGTGTTCCGATCCCATTATTCGCCCCCTGTGACAATTATGGATTGCTGAAGACCAATTCTAAATCATATATGTTAATGTACTGCTACTACTACTACTCCTACTATTACTACTACTACTACTACTACGACGACGACGACGACGACATCAATATAGAAAGTATTGCGAGCAAGCTATCATGGTTTAAATCGCCCTCTCTAATCATATAAAATGTGCTCCTTTTATACATTCAAACACAGTCCTCAGGAAAGAAGAAAGGCCTGATTTCTGACTCAAACTATTATGTTTTCCGTGTGTGTGTGTGTGTGTGTGTGTGTGTGTGTGTGTGTGTGTGTGTGTGTGTGTGTGTGTGTGTGTGCGTGCGTGCGTGCGTGCGTGCGTGCGCGCGCGCGCGCGTGCGATGTAGAAATAACAACAAAGCTGTTGTTCATGTTTTTGCGATGTTGGCGACGGACAAATTGTCATAAAAATGTGCAACATTCAATCATGTAAGTTGCCTTCTGTTTGAAAGAACCTTGTCACTGATCATATTCCAAATTCATGCTCATCCGTTGGCCCGAGACTACCACATTCTGCTAAGGACAACTAAGAGAACAATCAAATGTCGTCATCGACAAGTTGCTTTTGAAGGCAGTCATTCTGAAGTAGTTTTGATACTTCGAACTGGAACTGAATATAACTGACAGAAAATGTAAACAAAGTAGAGTATATACTCTGAGATCGGATGAAATATAAGGTGTCCACGCATCTTGTGGACTGGTCCACGTATGTATAAGACTGCGTCCATCTTGACAGAGGCGGGTCAGGTTTCAGATTTCATCTTTAACATTTGGACATTTTGTGTGACAGATGTTGAAGTTAGCAAACACCGAACTACCATACCACATGTTCTTACCAGTATCTGTCTCTTACTTCCCTTGATTTGATTTGAACATATTTTATTCACAAGTGACCGGGGGTAGGGAACAAGTTATCCAACGTAAAATACCCGCTCCTTACATACATGCATTTTATACATCTTAAGAAGGAATAGAGAGAAAGTATAAGAAAGTTAAGGAGAAAAGAGAGGAAGGGATATAACGTATGTGTTCACTCAAAAACGTTTTCACTGATATACATATATAAAAGTTTATACACATTTGAAAACATATTTCTTCTGTTGAACATTCATATCTGGACTTCCAAGTAACATTAATGACAATGTCATGGAGAGTCACGTTTTACAATACTTTTCAAATTAAACATAATGTCTCTCTTTCAATGTTATACATTCCCATTCTAGTAGGAAGTGATGTACATTTCCACAAGCATAGCCGCAGTACCAAGAAACAGAATATTTCAACAACAAAAAACCGTTAGACGTACACATAAGAAACTTTGTACATTTCACAAAATTGTTAACATGCAAGCTCCTGATTATCTCATAAACTTACTTCCATCTACTGATACTATTTCTCAATACAATTTGCGTAACAAGTTTTATTTGGCTATTCCAAAGTTTCGAACCACAGTTCTCCAAAAGTCATTAATTTTATCTATGATTGTGCATATTTACGGAATAACCTCTCCCCCACAATAAAATGTACCAATTCCTAAATATTTCCTATTTGGTGAAAGGAAGATTAATATCCTACACACTAAGTTAAAGAACCACTAAACTTTGTTTTTTGTTACTCTTTTAACCATTACATATGAAAGATTTGTGGTTAGTCTTATGCGGAACACCAAATTTATTCTTTAAAAACTTGTGGTTAATTAATACCGAGCGATTAAAAGTGGCCAAAAAGTCGCCTGCTTCTCTCTCGCCCGCCAACGAAACCACAGACAGGTTACGTAACTCTGTCGCCAGAGCACTGCAGTGACGTCATATGAGGAACGATTTTCAGTTAGTTGTATAGAAAGTGTGTAGCATGCTCATCATTTTGATGATTTCTCGACATCAACGAGGACATGCTGAATCGTTGCTTTGTCGTCAATTGCTCCTAGGTGTCGGGCGATGGTGTCCCCATGCACAGATTTCCACAGGACCCCGCAGTTCGTGCTAAATGGGTTATGTTTGTGAGTGCGAAACGAGCGTTGTGGAAGCCTGAAACGATATCTTACTTGTGTTCAGATTGCTTCACGGAAGTTAAAGAATCAAAACTACTTACTAGTTGTAGTAAAATATGTATATGATTGATGACCATAAAGATTTTCCATGACACAACTTGTAACATAACGATTTCTTCCTCGGAAGCGAGGTTGTGGTCGAAGTAACAATAATATTGTAAGTAGTATTATATTGACACCCACCTCGCTGCCAGGAGAGAAATTGTTATGTTATACGCTATGTCATGCAAAATCCTATTGGCCATCAATAAAATAAATATTTTACTACCAGTAGAAAGTAGTTTTGATTTTGTAACTCGGTGAAAACAAACCTAAATAGCATTTATCCTCAGACTGGCGGATGTTCCGGACAGGGCGCCGCCATTTTTGAAAATCGTAAAGTCTGTTAGAATTAATGAGATTATAGTTTGTTTTCATCAAGTTAGAAAATCAAAACTACTTTCTACTCGTAGTTAAATATGTATTGGAATCATAACCAAACGGATTTTGCATGACACAACTTATAACATAACGATTTCTTCCACGGAAGCGAGGTGGGTGTCGAAGTGACAATACTGCGCGGTAAATGTCTTGCTACATTCACATGGTTAATGTCCACTCACCAGTATGTAGATACTAGTCAATGTACGTCTTTATATTTGGTCTTATAATCCTACTAATATTTTTATTATACTTGTATGCATTTTGAAACTAAATAAAAAGCAGACGATCTGCTGATACTTATAGTGAATTTATAACAAAACTGTAATAGCTAGACATTTTATAGTTTGCCAATGTGAATCATAATCCGCACACACACCCTAGTGTATGTTGTCTGTCTCATTACACTTCACGGCGAAAACAATGATTCTGTTGACTGCTACGACAAATGAATAAAAACAAAATGCAAATATTAAAATTAAAACAGATTAAAGTTATAGGAACAATATCAGGCCATTACCTTGTTTGAGGAATGTATCCATCAATATCCACAAAACTGTTCCAAATGATGTGTCTTTTAACAGTTTAATATACGAAAAAGTGATCAATCTTTTCAGGTATTGGTGTATAGTCTCATTGGTCACCCAAGATAGCACACCTGGCAACTAATTGCATAATGTCCGCCTTTCTTTAAAAACAGTAATTTAGTTAGCCAATAATGGGCAATCAATCAATGTATTGCCGGTTAATCCTTTGAACGAAGCACGTTGTTTTTACGCAGACACCGACACGACAGAGTGTATTCAGTATAGATTAGTAAATTTACATACATAAACACTACCTTTTGACAATTCCGCTGTGTAAGATAAAAGTAATTAATCAATCAGCGTGTTATCGGTTAATCCTTTGATCGATGTTTATAATGTTGAATATTTACTCCAGACACAAGAAATGCCAAATGGGAACCTTTGTCGGGTAATCTAAGTGTGTTACCACTAATTATACCTGTTATAAATTCATTAACTGACCATCAAGGGAATGATGACAAATAACATGTGTAGGTTTATACCACCTAACACGGGTTACAACAAGGGAGTATTAATTGCTGTATTGCATGTGAAAACTTATGGGCCGACACTGTTTTGAGAATACAAACAGATTTTTACATGACATGATTAAATATCGAGGTAAAAAACACAGAAATGGGATCAATTTAGATCAGTCATTATACAAATAGGGCCTAACGACACCAATCGATTTTGACAGAATCGTCTATGAAAACAAGTTGTAACTCGGAAACTAGGCAAAGCAGGAGACAAAATAAAATGACAGTAGATTGTGAGAACATATAGCTTTCATTTTCCACAACAATTGTCACGATTTCAGGTTTATACAAGCCTGTAAACAAGATAATTTACCCCCTAAAATGTAGATGAATTCTGCATCGGCCCTCAAAGCTATTCCTCATATGACGTCACAGAGACGCGCCGCTCTGATTGGTTGAAATTTCGTTCGCGGGTGAGAATTGTGCACTGTTGTCAAAAAGGTCGATTTAAGTCAATTAAAGGTCGAAATGAGTAGTTTTAATGACGGGGTTTCATTTATAACGATGCCAGTTAGTGATTTATGTATTTGTACCCCCTAGGGTTTATGTGACCTTTAAGACATTTATGCAGTTCTTTAAATGCTGATCTTTTCCGTGTCAATTTATCTGAAAGTAAAGCTTGCCATTGTGGTGCTCCGGGAAGATGCCAATCATATCTTTCAAAAATGTCCAAAGTATGTCAGCTCCCGGTTTGATTTGATACAAGGCTTTTAAATCCTAAAAGTTAGCTTAGACATTAACACCATTTTGTACAGCAGCCTTAGCCTGCCACAAACTATAAATGAAAATATTTTTAGTCACGTCCATAAATACATTGTACGTAGTAAGCGCTTCAATCAATGTATAATATGTCTTGCCTCTGTTTATTGTCCATTACATGTAATCTTTCCATGTAATTGTCGGGAGGGGGCTTTAATAAACATTACTCCCGCTCTTCACTCACTTCATTGGCTTCCCGTCCACTACCGCATAAAATATAAAACTCTACTGCTTGTTTTCAAAAGTATCCATGGTCTAGCTCCTCAGTACCTCTGTGATCTGTTCCACCGTTATACGTTCCCTCCGATCAAATGACCAGTGTCTTTTGACAATTCCTGTGCCTAGGACAAAATCAT